ATACTTTACTAAACATTTTGTACAACAGAATATTAAAAAAGTTTTAAAAAAAGGTTTGACGTTAGGGCCTTTGAATAACATTATAAGTTTTTTTTTTGGATTGTATTAAATACAGTACAGTTTAGTCCTAACTAAACTAAAGTAAAAAAAAAAACGTACACAGGTTACAGTGTTAATTTATCTCTTCATCAAAAGTTAAAGTTTTATCAAGTACGGACTATATACAAGTGGATTTACACATTTTGTTGTCTACAATTACAATACGTTTGTATTGTGCTAGAAATGTTATATTTAAAGAAGTACTGTTATAATAAAGATAGTAACTTGGCCGGAAATGTTTTGCAGATCTCTGCTAATAAGCATTATCCTAGTAGGTCATCGTATGGGCTAATGTTTTGTGGGTCTCTGCTAGTAAGCATTATCCTAGTAGCTCATCGTATGGGCTAATGTTTTGTGGGTCTCTGCTAGTAAGCATTATCCTAGTAGCTCATCGCCTGGGCTAATGTTTTGTGGATCTCTGCTAGTAAGCATTATCCTAGTAGATCATCGTCTGGGCTAATGTTTTGTGGGTCTCTGCTAGTAAGCATTATCCTAGTTGGTCATCGTCTGGGCTAATGTTTTGTGGGTCTCTGCTAGTAAGCATTATCTTAGTAAGTTATCGTCTGGGCTAATATTTTGTGGATCTCTACTAGTAAGCATTATCCTAATAGGTCATCGTCTGAGCTATATGGTTTATGATCCTGTATAAAGAAAGGAGAAGTTTGATGATATTATGGTTGTTATGATTATCTTCAACATCGTTTAGCTGTTTCCTAATAATTGCCACAAAGCCGATGAATAGAAAACATTATTATTTATTAAACATGATGATAAGGAATGAACAAATATATAATACATGTGTGCGTGTGTCAATGAAAGTGAAGCTGTCATTTTAAAAATGCTGACCACTTAGATGTGTGTTCTAGTTTTGGTCTGTTGCTAGTTTTTGTTTTATTTTATTTACATTTGTAAAGTGAACACTGCATTCTCTTCCTTTATCACTTACACTCTGAGAATCATTTATAATGAGAAAAGCAGATTGTCACCACAGTCTCTCATAATGGTTAAAATCACATGATTGTATATTGTGCTATTTTAACAGTAGACAAACTTTTAAAGCCTATTATAAACGGCACTTGTACTTGTTCACGCAAGATACTTTTAAATTTTTTTGTTGGGTCGAAACCTAAAATATGTAATTTTGTAGAATTGATAATAGAAGCTGAAAAGTAACTAAAGTGATATGATGTGAATCGACAAATCAGATTTTAAATAGTAGCCAAAATAAAGTAGCATTGTATGTATAAAGATAAGTAGTCTACAGTAACACAATGGATGATCAATGTCAGCATTGTGGAAACTTCAAGGATAAACCAACCATACGGTGTCCTTGGGGCATGATGTTGGCCAGCGATGAGGCTGACTCTGTTGACAAGAAGAGAAAGAACAGGGTTTAGAAATGAGTTAAACCCTGCACTTTGTCCCACAGCATGAGAGTTAATATGTTTTTTTTTGTTTTGAAGATATCTTAAATTTTCAAACTTTGACAAAAAAATACAGAATTTCCTCAACTCTGCTTGTTTTCCTCTGCTGTACTCTGCAACAAATGAAATTAGCTCTCCTGTTCTGACTTTGTACTTGTCATGAAAGACAGCTATATTTTTGTTGTATTTTCCTTAATATTTTAAGTTATTTTTCTCTTACACATAAGTGGTTTTTCAACTTACACAGCAAGTAGAGTTTTGATTATTTAGTATATCTGTAACTTTGATAAAATGTCAAGAGAAAATTTTTTTGTTTTTAGTTTTATGCTGTATTTATAATTTTCTAAAATACATAAGTTCTTATCCATATTACAATCGGTAAAACATTTCTACTCCAATTCTCTCCCCTTTTTTATTGCCTTCAAAAGTTTTTAATCTGTTATTCTTTTGTCTGTAGGGTCAACAAAGAAGGATCCTTGTTAGGGTAAAACCAGTCCATGACTCTGGAACCTTACCCATTATCTGTGAAGCAATAACCAACATTGCCATCGGGTGTGTCTGTTCACGGTCTAAGCTTCAGAAGCCATTAGACTCTTACCAGGAAGAAGACTTGTCACGGCTACGGGAAAAGTGGTCAGATGCTCTGATGAAACGGAGGGAGTATTTAGATGATCAGATCCAAAAGATTATTAATAAGAAAGGTAGAACTTACTTGTTTCGTGATAACACTTAGTATACATCTGGACTATAAAATACTGTATAATAGTCATGCTCATAGACAATGTTGTGTAAATGTTGAAGAGAGAAATAAATGTAGGTAATTGTATGGTATCTATATCTGGAAGAAGGTTAATTTGTTTGGTAGATCCACCGCTTATGTTAAGAACAAGTTCAAAGATTTTGATATTATTTTTCAGGAAATGACAACACCTGAGAAACTCATTTCTCTTCATCCATTCTATCTTATGTTTGTAAAAATATAGTTGTTAAATTTGATTTTATGGACAGAAAGTAAAGCATGGTTTTTTTTCTTCTTTTCTGCCAGTTTATGCCTTAAACATAAACATGGCACACAAGATGTTTGTAGTAGTTAGTAAGCATAACAAAATATATTATATATAATGCACGTGAAAATGCTAATCTTCTAAATGACCCATAGATCAGAAGCGTTTAAAATGTTTACTTATTTTGCACACTGCTACAAACGATTTATATTTCTTTACAAAAGGAGAGAAAAAATGTGATATTTAATTGTTGTTTTAAATATTTATTTTTATTTTAGAAATTAACGTGTGTTTTTGTTAAGTCTTAGTTTCCAACATGTTTCTATTATGCTATCTATCATTATGCATTTATTTTAAACTTGTTTAAAGTTGCAATAACAATTTCATAAATTTGTCAGTGGAGTTTTGTTTTTGCTTCATGTAGATAAGACAGAACAAGATGTTGAAAGAGAGCAAAGCCTCATTGACCAATGGGTGTCTCTGACCGAAGAACGTAATGCTGTTTTAGTCCCTGCCCCTGGCTCAGAAATACCAGGAGCACCAGCAGACTGGTATGTTCAATTAAATGTGACATAGTATAAACAGCACCTAAAAATAGTAGAATCGTCTACACAATTCTGCATAGTCCAACGTTAATTCAGTAGTGAGAGAGTTAATTCTTGGCCAACATCGTAGGTTATACTCATAACTCCAAAGCAATATTTATAGTCCAGAAACTTTATTTACATTTGTTAAAGAAATATCGTAAACCTTCATTAATATGTTTTTTCTCATGAGAATATGGTCAATTAGTGAATTTTGTCATATCTGTTAAAAGTTTTTGGAAAATGTTACTTTGCATTTTTTGTTTTCCATACTTTATACAGAAATATTTGTTCCCTGTTTGTAAGTTTTATATGTAAATCCAAACACCATGAATAAATTTTAAGTAAGTAAAAGTTACTTAATGACTTATTCATTTTGAAGGGAACCACCACCAGGTATGGAACAGCACATTCCAGTAATCTTTCTTGATCTGAATGGTAAGTAAATAGAAAAGATAACTAGCTTTCGGTCTCTGTATTTCAAAATTTGCTTCTTATTATTTGCTAATGAAAAATAAAGTTTTTTGTTGAAACTCTCTATACTGATGTGAAACTAAGAGCATTCATTTGATTATAAAATCTGACAACATAAGGCTGACCAATGACCATTAGTTTGGATAATTCAGTAGGCTCATATTTCCTAGTCAACAATGTTCTCTGTTTCTTCACGAATGTAATATCCATTGCAGTAGCGAAATAAGTTGCAGTGATTTATTAGTTTACTAATCATCGATAACAGTCCGCGAGAAATAGTTTGATTTAAGCACTTGGCTGAAAGAAAACAAAATTTGTTAAAGATGTTAAATAATACAAATTAAATATATGTACAGAAACTTATGAAGTCCTAGAAAAGTGAATTGAGCCTGTAGATTTAATATTGGAGAGAATAAAATTGGATTCACTCTCTATCGTGTTAGGTTTGAAGGATTAGTGTTTGACAAAGTATAAGGAAATGCCTTAGATTTATTGTTCAACTGTTATACCAGAGTAGTCCAACTGCAGCTAGGCTACACCTGGCACCTTGACTTATCTGGTCCTTTCATCTGTTATGAACCACATGTTAAAGTCCAAGTTTGTGCTAAAAAAATTGTATAATAAAAGTTTGATAGGAAAGTACCAATCCAGTAAATTACGCCCAATCCCCGATTTTTCCATCCTCTAAAGTTCATCATGGCTTATACTTATCAGCAAGTGTAATTGAAGAATTGTTATGTAAATTATTTCTTCTGATATGCAGCTGCCAGTACACTAGCTGACATTATGTCCATACTAGAAAATGCTGTTAAATTTTGTTTGTTTATTGTTAAGCACAAAGTTACACATTGGGTTAACTGTGCTTTGTCCATTGTGGATCTTAAAACCCCAATGTCAGTGTTATAAGCACTCAGACTTACTACTGAAGCACTTGAGGGGGGGCAGCTGCTATTAAATGTTATGTTCATATCATTAGGGCAACTACAAACCCTTTTTCTCTCTCTCTTTTTTTTTATTCTTTTTAAATCTCAAAAATAGACATGTATGTAAACCATGCTACTTAGCTCTGCCAGTTGTTGGTCAGTTGTAAGGTAATCTTGATCCCTAACTCTGCGTTTTAATTTATATTTTGATAATTATCTATTTCATTATAATTGATGGTAGGTTAGATCATAGATTCTGTAATAAATCAAGGTATTATATTTTATTCAAGTTGCAATGTCCCTGTTTTATGTATTACAATAATCAGAGGGATGTTTATTGTGAAGTTCTTATTGTCCTTTATAACCATCTTTCAAGTTAAAGTGGTGTTAACTGGATAGAATTATGAGGAATAATAGAAATATTAGTTTATTGTGTAGCTGTACTTGTGTTGTTTGGGAAAATGTGGAATTTTACCTGGAAACAGGAAAAAGTTTGGAAAGAATGATTTCAAAAATAGGTCATATTAAACAAAATGATGATGCTTATGATATACAACATTGTTTATTGACAAAAGGGGGACATGGATAAACGTTTCAGAACTCTATCAGATTCCATTTTCAGTATCTAAAGCAGAATAAAATAAATTTACATAAGTCTTTATACATTGTCAAAGTTCCTGTCTAGTTAACTTTAAGCCTGGTCTGTACAGAAGGTATGTGGATGACACTTTT